CTCTGGCTGTTGCACATTTGAAGCATTAAGGTCAGAACTGATGACCCTGACCCATCCCTTGACAGTCACGCTCATGTTCTGTAGCTCAATTGGGACCTTCACACCGGCCTCATGGGTTAAAACCTGCTCTCGTGAATCCATGCTCCATCCAGCTTGCAAAAGTCTGCCATAACACAAAATGGGCTGTGTGACATGCGGTGAAATTGCTACCCTTTCTTTCAGCAAAACAAGTCGTCCAGTCTCATCCAAAAGTCTGATTTCAACATCACGCATGGTTTTCACTGGAATCAACTTGCCCTGTGCATCATGAAGACGTGTGGTGTCCTCACCTGTGTCACTCCCACAGCTGGCATATGCAAGTGGAAACACTGCTGCATCTGCACCTGAATCAAGCAAAATGTTACACATGTCGCCATCTTCAGAAGGAACCTCTGTGATCATTGTTCGAACTTCTCCTTGTTGAGCATTTTCTTCAACATCATCACCAATGTAAAAGTGAATGGCTCGGACTGACCCTACACTTGACTTAGGGCTGTCCCTCAGGTCACAAACAAAATGTTCTGGACCATCATCAAATGAATTCATCTCGGAAATGCGTGAAACTCGATACTGCGTCTGTTGCTGGGTCTGCTGAGTTGCATGCTGACCACCTTGTGCAGAAACACCTCCACCCTGCTGAGAAACGCTCGTAACTGCAGTCCAGTCTGATTGATTTGAACCACCTGCAGATGAAGGCGCTAGCACATGTCTCACAACACTCCAGCAATCTTTCGCAAAATGACCTGGTTTGTTGCACAAGTAGCATGTCTTTTCTGACTTGCCACCTTTCCCTTTTCCCTGGGTCTGGCTCGATTTCCCTTTGCCTGAATTGTTGCTCTTGTCATTGCTCGCCTTTGACTTGTTCTTGTCTTTGCCTTTCTGTTTTGATTTGCCCTTTGAGCTACCCTTCTCATGCTTCCCTTTTCCTTTGTCATTGTGTTTGCCTTTTCCCTGAATGCGATCCACCTCCATGGGCTTAACATCTGGTCCAGTGTCATCAGCTCTTTACAAACGATTTGACCACTTCTGATGAGCTCTGTCCCAGCGTAAAATCTCCTCACAGCATATGTTGAAGTCTCCTTCAAACTCAAACTCAAATGTGTCTTCAGCGCTCCAGTGATGCAACGCAAGGCAATAGCTGATTTAAGCTCATCACTCAACGTTGTCCCAGCACGCCTTGTTTCCTCATAGGCATCCTCCAAGCGTAAGAGCTGAGCTTGAAGGGGTTTTGACATGCTGAATGCTGGCCATGCCGTTACACTGGACAGCAATGAAAGTCCACGAGCTTGAGTATTGGGGCGCATAGCTAAAACAAGCTGGCGCAATGCTTCAAATCCATTACCATTGGGAGTAGCCCTTACAATGGACAGGGCACGGTTCTTGACCAACCCAGCCAACAACCCATAGAGCTTGGCTGAACGTTGTCGAACTTCTAAAGGACCAGATTCAATGTCAAGGGCCTTTGAAGGCTCTTCTGTCACTTGCTCCAACTCTTTGGTGAATCCCTCATCCACGCAAATGAGGTACTGGCTCAACTGCCATAGCCAGTCCCTAAAGTGTCGTTGGTCTTGTTCCTGATTGGGGTAGTCAAAGATGGGAGGTCGATTGACAAGCTTTGACCAATCAACCTGGGCTTTCAAAATCACTGCTCCACCAGTACCGGTGCCTGATGAAGCTGCTGTTGTCGTTGTTGATGCAGCCACCTGTTGAGCTGCCTGAGCTGCATTTGCTGCAGCCTGAGTTGCCTCAGCTATCTGAAGCAAAGCCGCTTGGAAAATCCCAGCGTCCACCTGTTGTGCCATGTCTCGCACAAGTCAAGCCACCTCCAGAAGCCCAATGCACAGTCAGATTATAGAAAACCTCTGTATTGCACCAGAAATTCCAGAAATGTACAATTGAAAGCAAGCAAATGAAAATTGTTCTCGTTCACCTTGTTCCCAACTGTCTCAATCCCTTAAGGAAAACAGTTATTGCAGCAACACTCCAAATCCAACCAGCGCTCAGATTGAAAACCCTTGCCACTTCCAGAAACTGTATGTACCACGTGTGCAAATAGATCTAATGACCAGTATGCAGACTGGTGTCCAGCAAAGTCCAGAAATGTTCCAAGTGGGTCCACTGCAGCCTAATCCAGTTTGGAGCCGTCGCCACCTCCACAATCAATGGGTCACAGCAAAGGGTGTAGCAAGAGCCAAGGGAACTAGCTCCGCTACCATGCAAAACGATCGGCGTTCAACAAACACCTTTTTCCTTGAACCAGGGCCTCACAGATATCCACACAGTTTTGTGTGATGAATGCCATGGACTGTTCCCATGAAACTGAAGCAAACGTTCAAGTACTTCTGATTGTGCGTGTCATCCTAATGCAGTGGCCATGCAGCTGTAAATCCACAGGTGAGTATGGAACACAATCTTTTGTACTTGCCAAAACATTTGTTGTATCACCAGCAATCAAAGAATCTCTCACATCGTTGTTGTCGGTGTAGGTCACCACAGCACCTGAAAGGCTTTTACCCCAAACAAGGAAGGCACAGAACAGTGCAAAGAACTTGCGCTCGTATTTTTTGCATCTCTTGCCAGCAGGGTTCAGCGCATGTTGGAGGTCAACTGTTTGGAGAAAAACTTCACAGGCTTCCCTGAAGGGTCGAACCGCACTGCACCAATGCCGACAAAGGTAGTCGTCTGATGACTCAAAGGACGCATCCGTCTGAATAAACCAGACTGCATTTGAGGACGGGCGCAATTCGCGAGGTCTGCTTAGCTCCAAGAGTCTCACATGCAACTTCAAAGCCAACAACGCTTTGTCATCAAGCCTGCACGCATGCCCGCTGTAAGCATGCTGCGTCACAACGGCTAACGGCTAACGCCGTCTTGGCAATCCGTCCAAATATGTTGCCTGCAGCGAACTGGAGGCGATCCCTCAACTTCAGTGCCTCATGGCACGACAACTTGCGCTCTTCCAGAATCGCCAACAAGGCCTGCACCAGCTCAGCACGCCTGCTCTCTGTGTTTCCAACTTTATTTCCAAAGATTGAACCACTCACGCACATCTCTATCGTACTGTTCTACAACGTTGGGGAAAGGCGGGCGGCGCGGTGCGCAGAGAAAACTAAAACTGAAGCAAACGCTAAACCAAACAAACGCGTCGTCATGTTCGCGGGATACGCGTAAACTGAACCAACTGAAACAACACAAGACAGACATCACACAAACAAATCACAACTGAAACTTGAATGCACATGCGGAAAACGAAACATGAAAGCCACTGATGGTTGAATGCCGTCACACGCTTTTTTTCTTTCGGTGGTAGACGGCACTGAAACAAGGTCTCAAGTCCAATCAGTGGATCCTCATCAGATCGCTTTCATCCTGTCGATTTTCCAATGCAGCCGAGGGTATCGTTCCCCCGTTCAAAGTCAGTGCCGTAGATTGCGTTGATTGCAAATCATGATACGAAGTTGTGAATGAAAGCCCTGTGCCCAATTGGAAATTCACATGGACACGCAAGTGAAAGCCTGTCGAAAGAATCATCGAGGGCAAGAAATGCCCGCAGAGCTGCTGTACTCATGAAGTCGAATCAAAATGTCAGACCGATCAATGTAGATGCCATAGCAAGTCCAGCAAAGAATCTGTAGGTCACTGCCACTCAGAAAAGAGAAACACAGCACATTGGCAAAGCGCGAAGGTCCAGAGTGGTCCCAAATGTTCCAAGTAATCAAAAAGAAAGTCTGAACGCTGATATAGTCGTATCGATCTGGATCCCAAGTCAGTCTCATTGTATCGCGGGTTTGCATTGCAGCTGTGAAAATGTACCGAAAGGTTCGTGAAATCAAAACAACAGGGAGGGAGGGAGTGGACTAAAAAATTGAACAGCTAAAACTGCAAGACAAAGTATTGATTAACCGAACCCGGGGTGTTTCAGAGTAACAAGGCAACTGAGTCACTTCAAACAAGAAACACCAAACGCTAAAACTGAGTTACAAAACAACAAACCTTGAAAATGCACAGCTGACACTGAGACTGAGGCAAAACAAAGTTTTAAGGTTCAACAGACAACATCTCCAAACCAACAAAACTCAAACCAACTGAAACTGACCCAACATGTCGTTCACTAAGCGGTTTGGAAAATGTGTCAACACCCTACCTTAACATTGTCGCGGGCAGACGGGGTAACGCGAAGTAACGAACGGTTAGGCGATGAAGCGCAGGCCCCCAACGACACCCCAGCCACCCACCCCAAACCCCAACGCTTCCAAACAGTCATTTTGGTGACCCAAACTATCCTGTTCTACAACGTTGGGGAAAGGCGGGAGGCGCGGTGCGCAGAGAAAACTAAAACTGAAGCAAACGCTAAACCAAACAAACGCGTCGTCATGTTCGCGGGATACGCGTAAACTGAACCAACTGAAACAACACAAGACAGACATCACACAAACAAATCACAACTGAAACTTGAATGCACATGCGGAAAACGAAACATGAAAGCCACTGATGGTTGAATGCCGTCACACGCTTTTTTTCTTTCGGTGGTAGACGGCACTGAAACAAGGTCTCAAGTCCAATCAGTGGATCCTCATCAGATCGCTTTCATCCTGTCGATTTTCCAATGCAGCCGAGGGTATCGTTCCCCCATTTGCAACGCAACGAGGCTGCATAGACTGACGCTGAAACTGAAACTGGGCTACAAGTCAGCCCCAAGCTGATTTCTCAAATTTGTCTCGCCCCTTTCCATACACCGCCCAAGAGTCGCGGTCCAAAAATTCTTGCCTCGCTCCTCAAAGGCTCAGGAGCAAAGAAAGATCTAAATCTGAAAACGCGATGTCGATCCTCTTGCTCATGTCGACATCACCAAACCTGGAATTCGTCAGGTCGTCAGCAAGAGTATTTTGGTCTCTCGGTCTCCAAGCTAAACTGATTCTGACGCCAGCCCTCATCAAGCAGTGGGACAATTGCATGTTCACTCAGGTGAGGGGCCAACGTGTAGTTGAATTCTTCCTGGACAAGAAATCAATAGAGCGATTATCAGTTCTGCTCTGCACCCACAGCCGGATGCAAGTTCTACCTGACTTGGGCTCCAAATAGCCGAAGACCTGAAGCGCAACTAAAACTGAGAGAAGTTCTGCAGGTGCCGACGCCCACTCACTATCCCCATTCTCCTTGAAGAGGTACGGCGCATCGTGCGGCGTGACACGCACAGAGAACCATTTGCCATCAGGAAAATGATACCCAGCTAACACCACAAGATTGTTCTCGCACTTCGCATCAGTCCTGAATACTTCATTTGTAAGCCGTTGCGGCCTTAAGCAAGAAAACATGAACTTCTGTTCCTCAAACTGCTTTTCCAAGAACATGCAAACAAGCTTAACCATCCTAGGCGCTGTAGCAACTGTGCTCTTGCTGACTGCCGAAGCCCATGAGTAAAGGGGAGCCAAGTGCGGCTTCAACCAAAGCAACACCCGGCAAGTGAAGCCGAGCCTACCAAGAAACTCCGCAAACCGATGGACATGAACCGTGTAACCATCTCTTCTCAGCTCCCGTAAGAAGGTGAGCAGCCACTGCCCACGTGCATCGCTGATGCCTACAGACATGTTCAAATAGTCAACACGGTACCCAACGAACTGCACGTCCAGGCCGCCTGAAAATTTCTTGTAACCAAAAGGAGTGCCCAAGGCCTCATAAGCTGCAACCGCCATCCACAAGGTCTCAAACTTTTCTTCACCAATGCACACAACATGGAGGTCGTCAACGTACACCAGCTGTACGACCCATCTATTCAAGAGAACCCTTGCAACAAGCCTACCAGCCAGGCCAAACAGCCTACTCCACCAATAGGGCGCGCTGGACACCCCAAAAGTACCAACTTTGTTGACCCAGCAAACGTTCGAATCCGAATTGGACTTGCAAACCAACAGCCTCCAATCGCTCTCGCGGATCTTGACCAACCTGTGCGCCGCCTTTATGTCGGCGGAAACAGTGAAGAAGGAGTCATGGGTGTCCCTTGCAGCACGAACAGCTCCAGCAACATCTGGCGGCCCAGGATAATCAAGCTTGTCTGTAAACTGTATCCCGTTGTTAACCTGGACGAAGTGTGTTCCATCATGTATGGGCCTAACACTACCGTCAGGCTTCTTTATGGCCCCCATGGCCGCAACGAGGATGGGTTTGCCTGGATAGCGTTCCCTCAAGACTCCCATGGTGGTGGGGTACATCATGCCCTGGGCCTCATCCTCTCTGAACTTGCTCTCAAGACCTTCTTGGTTTTCAACTGCAGACTTATAGTTGCGTGCCTCCTCCATGTACTCAGACGCGTCCAGGTTGCTCTGTTTCGTCCTGGTGCGGAAAACCTCCGGAGCAGGTGGTATGGGCTCTTCATACCCGACAGGAACGCCCGTCGTGAAGGAGTCCTTTGAGGCAACCAATATCTCGGAGTCAGGGTCGCCTTGAATCTTCAGAGTCTGCGCCATGAGGTCCAAAAGGAAAGGCTGGCCCTCTGCCTTCTGCACAGCACTGCTGGGGACAGGTAAAAGGGCGGCCCAACGTTTTCTCAATTTATCAAGTGCTTCGTTGCTGAATGGCGACTCGGCCAACTTCCCTGTAGCAAGCTTGAAGGCCATCATGCGAAGATCTCCCACCTGTTCACGAACAAAACCTCTGAGCAAGTCATGGACCTTGTTGTTGATGTCACGTGCTTGAGCGCTTTGTCCAACACCTCTGCACTCAGGAGCCCACCGGTTAGGTGAGCACAAGCCAAAGCCGTCAGTGATCTCTCTCTCTTCTCCAGACCATTCAACCATCATCGGTCTGCCCCAGTTGGAGTCTGAAACGGTGTGTTGAACCCCAATCAAGTTGGTGGGACCATTGGTCTGTGCAGCCGGCTTCTCAGCAACCTTGTCGACATCCATGGGCAGAGAAAAACTGCTTTGCCCAAAACCTGAGTGCTCACCTGAAACTGTAGTTGAAGGTGTCTTCTCAGCCGCTTCCAAAACTGTAGTTGAAGGTGCTTTCTCAACCACTTCCATTGCCTCGTGGGTGCCCCCTTTCCGAAGGACGGAGACCACGAGGTTGGCCAAATATTTGCACAAGCCAGGTGGATATGAAGCAGCAGGGCCGGTCACCCAGCGGCCCTGGGAATCCTTGCCAATCAGACGCCGGACGTGGCGTGCGTGGGTGCATCTAGCGGGCAATGGCCCCACGTATTTGCCTTGCTCGTCGAAGGCTGGCCATTTGGAAAACCTTGCTTTGATGCCCGGTATGGAAGAAAGAAACCTTGTAGGCTTGCTAGTATCGGCTCCAAAACCGCATTGGAAGATTGCCCAGGTGGTTGCATTGGTTGCAATCTGCAAGTCACGCATCTCATCAAGCTGCCAGATGGATGCTGGTGATTCGCCATTGACCGTGCCCAGGTCCTCCGGGTGCTCAATCAAAAAGAATGCCCCAACTTCAGACGCAAGGTGTGCAGCACGTATGGTTTGCGAAACAAAATAATTTGCCAAATCAACTTTCTTACGCTGCGCTGAAGACAACCATGGAAAACCCCATGGCCATGACTTGTTGCGTTGTGGTCGAGGACCTGGATGAAGTTGCCACTGGAATCGAACTCGGGACCATGTCCCACAAGGAGGTGACATAATCAAAACATCGTATTTGCCGTCTTTGATTTCTGCAAAAATCTCCTCCCAAAGCTGGTCACGACTGAGGTCATCAGACTCAGAGCGCTCAATGTCCACTTCGCGGACATGCAGGGTAAAATGCTGCGCTTGGGAGTATCCATGCAAAAAGGAATTGATATCTGCACGACGTGGGGCTCCTGCAAACAAATAGAGAACATTCAAGGTCTGCTTGACAGATGCATTGTCCTCCTTCGAAGCCCCACGTTCTGCCTGTCACTCATCACTAGCCTTGCCCTTGTCATCCCCTCCTTGTTGCGAGGGTTTGTTGTTGGAGTACTTGTGGTGCTCCCGTGCTGAATGCTTGCCATAGCATCCTCTGATCCTGCAAGCATGGACTCTTCCACACTTTCCTGAACACCCTTGGGCGTTGAACGCAAAGCACTGTTCTCCATCACTTGAGCCCAGTCAAAACTTCCAAGAAACGGAAAACGCGAACGCGACCTACGCAACAAAAACCTAAATGGGGGAAAGCCCTAAATAACCAAACCCTAAACCAACGCCAGCTAAACTAAAACATCCACCAACAGAAACTACATGACATGTGAATTGCTGTTGCTCAGTGAAATTGAAATGCGGTGAATCGGTCAGCCACCCTTTTGTCGCGTGGATTTGGAACTGAATCCCTGAACTGATCCTTCAGGCTGGTGGTGATATTCACCTGCATATATGCCTTGACCTCATGTCAGGCTCTGAGTAAACTTTGCGCCCCCTCAAGTCAAATCTTTAGAGGAGGAAATAAGAGCTCGATGAATGAGAACCAGCGAGCGGTGGCACCACGAAATCAGTGAGTCCAAGTGGGTCCGTGCCAGGGCCACAAGAGCAGGGTGATAGAAAGACCCTGTCTCTTCAAAATAGTCTTCTCGTTCATCCAGGTAATGTCGAAGTGTCCAAGCCTTCTGATGTAAAAGGATCAGAGTGGCATAAAGGTGGAGCATCTGAAATAATGGCGTCATTGCCAAAGGAAAGGAGCCACCAGAAACAACTCGCACTGCCCGCCATGAAAGAGAGGGCAGAAGCAATGAGGATATGAAATACTGAGCGCCGATGCAGATGTCGTCGGCAAAGGTCAGAATAAACAATGAAGCCCCGTGGACTCGTAGAGAGCATATAAATCACCTCAATTCCCAGGGTTTTGGGAGGGCGGGTGTTCAAAAATTTCTCTAGCCCTTGAACCTTCGAGCAACACGTAACAAATTGAAGTGATCAGCACAACTCTTTGAATGACATCAGACTGAATCTCTCTCAGTGTATTTTTTTTTACAACAATGGGAAATCAAAAGGTAAACAGAAACCGAGTAATGTGTGAACATGTTTGCGGCTGAAGCATCTAACTGAAACGGTTCACACTCGCACAAGTGTTCTCCTCCGGTTTTTTTTTTAAACGCTGAACCTGGAAGCTCAACCTATTACACCTCTAAACTCAAACCCAGAAGGAAGCAACGCGGAGGAGAGGACACGCCAGCAGGAGGCAGCGAGCAGAGCAGAGGAAGCAAGCAGGAATCTAGAGACCGAGGGGGAGATCCCCACCCAAGCCCCCCCAGAGGGCCAAGCGACTTCAAACAGTCCCCACGGTGAACCGTGAAGGCCTGTTCTCCATCACTTGGGCCCAGTCAAAACTTCCAAGAAACGGAAAACGCGAACGCGACCTACGCAACAAAAACCTAAATGGGGGGAAGCCCTAAATAACCAAACCCTAAACCAACGCCAGCTAAACTAAAACATCCACCAACAGAAACTACATGACATGTGAATTGCTGTTGCTCAGTGAAATTGAAATGCGGTGAATCGGTCAGCCACCCTTTTGTCGCGTGGATTTGGAACTGAATCCCTGAACTGATCCTTCAGGCTGGTGGTGATATTCACCTGCATATATGCCTTGACCTCATGTCAGGCTCTGAGTAAACTTTGCGCCCCCCCGTAGCGAGGGGCCTGACACTGAAACTGACTCTCACCACTGAGTTTTCTCAAACTTCGCACTTCCAACATGTTTTGCAAACTTCCTCAAAGTGTCCTTGTCCATGAACTCATGTCTCGCTTCCCACAACTCCCGCAGCAGGCTAAAATCGAAATCTTCCCACTTGCATTCCAAACGCAGTCTCGTTTCCACCTGGCTGAAGTCTTCATTGGTAAGTTTGTCGGCTAAATCGTTTTCCGCACGGGGTCGCCATCGCAGCTCCAGCCGCATCCCCCAACGCATGAGCATGTGAGTCAACTGCATGTTGATCAAAGCCAGTGGAAACTTAGTAGAACTTCCCTTCTGGAGAAGGGCCTCATTTGACTGGTTGTCCGTGCCTGCTGCCAAGTAAACCGGAACGGTCATTCTTTCTCTCCCTTCTCCATAGTTGAACAAAACAAGTGCCACGGTGGTGGCCAGCAACTCCGCTGGCGCTGAAGCCCAGCTGCTCTCTCCATCAGGTTTGAACAGGTATGGCGCCTGTTCGGGATCCAAACGAAGCGAAAACCAGCGGCCAGTAGCAAGGTGGTGCCCACCCAAAACGACAAACCCTTGAGCACATTTTGCATCTGTCCTAAACTGTTCTCCCAGTAGGCGGATGGGCCTATGGCATGAATACATGAAACTGCAGTCTGCAAGTTGCCTGGAAATGAATTTGAGAACCAGGACCACCATGCGTGGCGCCGTAGCGACCGTTCCTTTGGCCAGAGCGGCGGCCCAGCTATACAAGGGTGCCAGGTGTGCCTTCAGCCAAACCAGGACTCGGGCAAGGAAAGCGAGTCTCCCAAGGAATTCCCCAAAGCGGCGCATGTGCACTGTGTAGCGCGCTTCTTTCATCTCCTTTATGAAATTCAGCAACCAGAGGCCTCGCTTGGCCGTCACCCCCATCTTGCAACGTCCATAGTCCAGCTGAAACCCTACAAACGTTACTTCTATCCCTCCTGCGAACTTCGCATACTGGAAAGGGGTGCCCAACGCCTCATAGGCTGCCAGCATCATCCACAAGGTCAGGAACTTGCGTTCCCCGAAAACCACAACATGCAAATCATCTACGTAGATGAGTTGGTAGTTGCATTCAGTCCCCATAGCATTGCCCACCAGCCTTCCAACTGTTCCCATGAGCCGCGTCCACCAATAGGAGGCGCTTGATACGCCAAAGGTTCCCACCTTGTTGACCCAGATGGTGTCTGATGTCGATGAAGCTTTGCAACAAATGAGCGGGTGATCCCTGCTCCGCAATTTCACCAGCCCGTGTGCCGACTTGATATCGGCTGAGATAGAGAACCTAGCCTCCTTGGTCTCGGTCACCTCCCGAATGACACCAGCCGCGTCTTCCGGCCCAGGATATTGCAATTGGTCTCTGAAAACTATCCTGTTGTTGAGTTGAACATGGTGGGTGGCATCGTGTATGGGACGAATGTCACCGTTGGGTTTCTGTATGGCCCCCATGGAAGCCACCAAAACTTCCCGGTCAGGGTGTTTGGCTTTCAAGGCTGCCAGCGTGGTCGGGTACATCCTCCCCAGCCTTTCTTCTTCTCTAAATTTGTTCTCCAACTCCTCTGCTACCAGCTCCGCCGACTTATAGTTTTCCGAAAAGGGGATGTAGTCCGAATCGTCCAGCTTGCGTTGTTTCTCCTTTGGCGGAAACACAGCAGGAACCCTAGGCAGCGGTTCATCTAGTCCAACTGGCACGCCCGTTGCAAACGACTCTTCGTCTTGTACTAGCACCCGGTAGTCCGGGTCCTCCATAACTTCTAACGTTTGCGCCAAAAGGTGCAGGAAGAAAGGTTGGCCCTCCGTGAGCTCCATGGCGCTAGCGGGGGAAGGCAAAAGTTGGGCCCACCTCTCCCTAAGTTGCTGCAACGCACTTTCTGAAAATGGTGAACTCTGGAGCCTCCCCAACGCCAAGTGAAAGGCTTCCTTTCTTAGGTCGCCGATCTGTGACATCACAAACTCCTGCAGGAGCTCTTTCAACTTTCGTCCCATCTGCTGTGCCTCCATGCTAAGGTATGTACCTCTATCCTCTGGGCGCCAGCGATTTGCAGAGCAAAGACCAAACCCATCAACAAATGGTTTGGCTCGTCCACCCCATTCCACCACTAATGGCTTTCCTCTATTGCGAGCCTCTTCCGGCCCTTCTCGAGTTTTCTGCTCATCTTCCCCAGCTTCAGGTCGCTGGGTGTCGGTGTCTGAATCGCCTGGTTGGTCCAAGCTATCTGTAGCGACTGTAAGTGTTGGTCCAGCCGCAACTGTCGTGGTCGTAGTTGTTGGCTTAGCCTCTGTAAGGGGTCCAGTCGGTAGGCCGAGTGAAGAGGCACTTGCGCTCCCCACCCGACTGGCGATGAGCTCGGCCAGGTATTTGCAAAGCGCCGGAGGGTAAGCAGCGGAACCCTCAGTGGCCCACTTCCCGTTGGGCAGTTGGCCCAAAAGGCGCTTGGCATGTGTGGAGTGCCCACAAAACGTAGGCAAGGGGCCCAAGTATTGTCGCTCCTTGTCGAAAACTGGCCAAGTGGCATAGGGTAGCTCTTGGCAAGGCTTGAGGGTGGAAAGAAACCTGGTTGGCTTAGGCGATGGTGCGTCAAAATGACACTGGAAAACTGCCCAAGTCGTGGCCTTCGTGGCCTGCTGTAGTTGTTGCATAGTTTCCCACTGCCAGATACTAGCGGGCCATTCACCATGGCATGCCCCTAAGTCTTCGGGATGCTCGATCAGAAAGTCTGCATTGCATTGGAAACATTTGTGCGCAGTGGCGATGGTCTGGTCCACCAAATAGTTGTGATCTTGTGCCAGCTGTAGATTTGAACCTGTAAGCCAAGGAAATCCTCGAGGCCAGTGAAAATTGCGTAGTGGCCGTGGGCCAGGCGAGGTTTTCCAGTTGAAACGGACTCTGCTAAAGGTGTTGCAAGGTGGTGACATAACCACCACGTCCCATAATCCAGCTTCTAATTCCTGAAAAATTTTGTCCCAAAGTTGACTGTTTAACAGATCATCTGAGGCCTGTCGTTCCACATCGACCTCCGTAACATGCAAAGAAAATTCGTGCTCCAAGCCAAACTCCTGGAGGTAGTGCTTGACGTCTGCCTTGCGAGGCTTCCCGCAAAACAAGTACAGCACCCGCAATGTGGGTTTGCAAGTGGGTGCTGTTGCAGGCTGTCACTCTGTTTTGCTATTGCCCTTTGGAAGATCTTTGCAACGATCGTGTTCCCGGGCGGCGTGTTCACCATAACAGCCTTTGATACGACAGATGTGCAGTCTGCCGCACCGTCCTGGACAGCCTTGGCTGTTAAAGGCAAAGCATATTTCCCGTCCGTCCGGGGAGTGGGTGACAAGGTGGTGGTCCCCGTGTTTTCCTTTCGATTTACCTGAAGCTTTTCCTTTTCCCTTGTCAAATTTGCCTCGTACTTTGCCAAAACCCTTTGACTTGCCCTTCTTGCCATCATAGGTGTTGTTGAAGGTACGTTGACCGCCATGCCGAGCTGTGTCATGGTTGGTCAGTGCCAAAGGAGTTGTAAAGTATGACTCTTTGAGTTCGGCGTCTTTTGTCACGGCCTCCAAGGCCTCTGCCAGTGTCTTCTCCCCTTTGTTGACCAGTTTGAAGGCTTCCCGTCGCAGGCGGTGCTCAAACTGCAGCACCAGGGCAAAAGGGGGACGCAGAGGTTGCTGCTGTCCATCAACAGGCACTTTAATGCCATGAACCTTCTCTCCCAGTACGAACTCCACAAAGCGATTGAAGTCCTCCATTTTCAAACCTGCCAAGAAATGTTTTGACTTGAACTTCGAAGACATACACAGCCATGTTGTGGCCTCCAACTTCATCAACCTGCGGTATTCTTCTGTGTTTTCCGGAAGCCGGCCTTTGGATTTTGTCTTGGTGATCCTCACATGGCCTGTGCTGTCCAGTGAAGTCTGCAAGGCTGATGTGTTGCGGTCAGCCTTTGAAGACACTTCATCCAAGCTTGCTGCTGTACATTCTCCATTCTCGCATTCCTCAACCTTCAAAGCAAGGTACTCTGCACTGGGTGTCTCGTGGTCGGATAGGTGACCCAAAACCTTTTCGACCGCTTTAAGCATTGCCAATCTTTCGCTGTGTTGAAGGTGACGGGGGACCCCAAGAACTTTGCTCTCGGCTTGGATCTCTTTTTCTTTGGTGTAAAGCTCTTTCCCTGCATTCCAGGCTGCAACCACTTGTGCTACTTGCGCCCGCAATGCTGGGTCTCTGGCTGGGTCCAAGTTGAAGTCGGCTTGGACTGCAGTTCGAACGTCTGCAGAGCTTTCTCCTAAGGCTGTGAAGACCCTCAGTGACTTGTAGTGCTGGGCCATCTCATACTGAAGTGTTAATGGGATTTCTGCATCATCCCATACATACTGCAGATCTGAGGTGACGTTACTTCGCAGGTATTCCCTGCGATCATCATCCGTCACTGCCATCGCTGAGTCTGAAGCTAAAGCTGAACTGTTCTATGTTGTTTCCTGTCTTTGAAACTCCCATAAGTGAAGAGGAGGAAGGAGAGTGCCGAGGACGCGGGACAAACCAAGTAAACACCACACACACCAGTAACAAGTCACATGTTTGATGTTCTGAAACCATTTCGAAACTCTGAGCCTCACCGACGAAAATAAATAAACTTGAATCTCAAATCACTTCTCCAAACTGTTCTTTCTCTGCATCTTTGGACCGCAATGACTGAAACCTTTCTTTGCGCTTTGATCTCAAATGCTTGAAGAGGAGATGGGGAGAATGCCGAGGACGCAGGACAAATAAATTGCAAATAAACCCCATGCATTTTTCCCTGAAACGTCGACGATCTGATGACCGCTTTGCCAACTGCAGTTGCGCTTGTTTAGCGCCAGTGCCCTATTGCCACTATTCTGTGACTGCGGCCGACATGAAACTTAAACTGCAAGTGCAAAACATCCTAAACCTTCTGTCTCAGACAGTCCATTTTGCCATTGCAAACGCGGTGACAACAAAGGTGAAAACGAAGGTGAAAACCAAACTGACATGAACTGCCAACTGTCCTAAATCAAAGGCTGCCACTCTGATGCCTCTCCAGCCTCGGCCTCTTCAGCTTCGGCCTCGTCTCCGGAAGTGTTCGTAGAGGACGAATCACCTGAATCGCTTGAAACATCATGGTCAGCTGTCATACGACCCAACTCTTCTGAAATCTTACGTTGACAAATCTTGCAAATAGCATCATATGCTGCATCTTGAACATTGTCAACATCAGTGCTGTCGATGCATCTGTCTGAGCGCACCGGACATTTGCCATGCATGTGTAATCTTCTGAAACCTGTCCTCCTCGACGTCGTGATGAAATAGCCCGAATGAGTTGAATTCTCACCTGCCTCTCGTTGCACTGCCTCCATGACCTGTTGTGTCTCCTGGACGTCTACCTGTTCGACATCTGAATCAAATGTGTTGAAAACTTCACCAGCATTGGCCCTCTTGTAGTCATGAGTGTGACGTCTCCTGACCCTCTGTCCTACCAACTCATGTTTGTCTGCAAAATGCATGACATCCTCCAACAACTCTGACTCATCCAACGCTGGGGCTCCCAACACAATTGAGTCTCTGACCAGGTGTTGAACCTCTTCCACCACTTGACGTGATGTATGCAAGTACGCATTACTTCCAGTTCTTCCTATTGACCATCTTCCAAGGAAGTCCCGCTTAGTCTTGTCCACTCCTAACGATGCCGCCGCCTGTGTCAGAAAATGACGTGGGCTATGGCCTGACCAGAAAAGCAACATAGCCCCTGGCACCAAGTCCATTGCCTTGTTCTGTCGCCAGAATCCATCTTGGAAGCGTGGCGTTCCCAATTTTCCCAAAACGATCCTGAAATAGTTTGCCATTGAAGGTGGTTCCAAAATCTTGTTCTTAAATACGGTCCAGTCTTTACCCGGTGTTGGGATAAAATAGTCCCTGGGAAACATGAGATCCTCACGTTGCAACATCTGAAAACCTTCGATAAGCCAGTCATATCCAGAAATCGAAATGTCTCTGGCCACAAATGCACAAATAGGCCCATGCAACTTGGCACCTCCAGTAGTCTTCGTCCTGGCCATCCTAAGTGTCAAGCCACGGTTGCTAAGCCTGACAGATTCCGGCATAACATTCTGTAAATCGTCAACTCTCATTGCAGCCCAAGTTGAAACCAACATACACCATGCAATTAGCCGCAGACAGAACTCATGGTCCATCTCAATGACAAACAGCTCAAGTGCCAACAAAATCGCTGTTGTGTAAGGCTTTGCAGCCATTGGGAACGTGTTCGTTGCCAGTTCCTGTTTCCAGCTTTCAACATGTGCCTTCCACAAGGGATCCCGCGACAGCTGTTTACCTTCCGGTATCCGTCCAGCCTGTTCTAACACCACCAGTGCCGCCTGGAATTCTGAAATAAAACTGAATGTCACTCCATTTTGAATGTGCTCCTCAACGTAGTGTATCAAGACATCCAAACCACCTGGCCAAGTCTTACCTGAATATGCTACTAGCCATGTGCGAAAGCGGTTCCATGACCTGTATCTGTTTCTCAAGGTCTTTGACCGCCTCGCTCCAAACAGTCGTAGCCAAGCCTTGTTCGGATCCTGAAGTGCCTCGATCTGGAGACTCACCGGCAGAACGGCTTCCTGTAAAATACCTGCCAACTCCAATGCATATCTGTCTCTCTCATGCTGTTCTTTGGCCGCTCTCGTCTCCGGTCCTTCCCCAGTTGAAGACCTACGCTGGGTACGTTTCACAGTGTCCAGCATGAAACGAGGATCTTCCTTCATGATCTGCTCAAAAGTCTCCTGTATGGTGCCTACTGTATCCCGTTTGGGATGTGCACAGAACTCGAAACTCAACTCTCTGTCAAGGATACGCTGCCTCTTGACCTGTGGTCCATACTTAGTATGCCATGCGGTCAGTCCCTCAACGCTCACCTGTCCAAAGTCAGCCCACTCCGTCTCTGTCAAAATACCTTGTAAAAGGTCTTGGGCTCCAGCCGCATCATCAAATGAATACCACAGGTATTTCAACTCACCAAAGATTTCCTTCAGTCTTTGCCTAAAGCTCTGTTTAACTGGAACATCATTCCAATCCATGCCATACGTCGAAGATTGCAGCGCGTCCCTGACTGTTCAAAAATTTCTCTAGCCCTTGAACCTTCGAGCAACACGTAACAAATTGAAGTGATCAGCACAACTCTTTGAATGACATCAGACTGAATCTCTCTCAGTGTATTTTTTTTACAACAATAGGAAATCAAAAGGTAAACAGAAACCGAGTAATGTGTGAACATGTTTGCGGCTGAAGCATCTAACTGAAACGGTTCACACTCGCACAAGTGTTCTCCTCCGGTTTTTTTTTTAACGCTGAACCTGGAAGCTCAACCTATTACACCTCTAAACTCAAACCCAGAAGGAAGCAACGCGGAGGAGAGGACACGCCAGCAGGAGGCAGCGAGCAGAGCAGAGGAAGCAAGCAGGAATCTAGAGACCGAGGGGGAGATCCCCACCCAAGCCCCCCCAGAGGGCCAAGCGACTTCAAACAGTCCCCACGGTGAACCGTGAAGGCTAGTTCTCTGCCGTCCGGTGTGTGGGTTACCAGACTATTGCCATTGAAGTCCCTGGAGCCCTTGCTAAACTTGCCTTTGCCTTTGCCACCTTTGGTTGGACCCCCTTTGAAACTGGACTTCCCTTTGGAGCTTGTGCGCTGCCATTTGTTGGGCTGCGCTGATGGCCGTTGATTGTTCCAGCCAACGCCCAGTGCAATCGGTGCCGTGAAGTGGGCCTCCTTGATCTCTGCGTCCTTGATGACGGCAGTCAACCCTTCTGCTACTGTGTGCGTGCCAGCTTGGACAAGTTTGAAGACTTCCTTCCGCATCTTCTGCTCATAGCTAAGGATGACAGCCCAAGGCGGTTTGACTGCATGTGATTGGCCTTCAACGTTGAACTTCAGGCCCAGAACTTTCTCACCAAGCAGGTACTCTGTGTATTTCGACCAATGCTGCAGCTCAAGACCATGCAGCCAAGTCTTGTTTCGAAACTTCGCTGACATGCAAAGCCAGCTGACTGCCTCCAGCTTCAACGCCTTGCGAAGGGACTCTGTGTCCTCCGGAAGACGACCCTTGGTCTTGACCTTCGTGACCCGGACATGGCCTGATGAATCAAGGGACGTCTGTAAGGCTGAAGAGCTTGTGTCAGCCCTGGATGAAATCTCATCAAGCCCCAGGGCTTGAGGCTCGTTCGCCTCGCACTCCTCAACCTTCAAAGCAAGGTATTCATTGCTAGGTATCTCAACGTCCTGCAATTTGCCCAAGACCACTTCAACTGCCTTGACCATTGCTTGACGTTCCGTATGCTGCAAAACGCGGGGCATACCCAAAACCTTCGTCTCAGCTTGAAGTTCTTGCTCCTTTGCTGTCATGGTGCGTGAGAGCTCCCACGCCGTCAAAACTTTGGCCACATCAGCCCTGGTCTCAGGACTTGTTGTTGGGTCAATACGGAAATCTGTGCGCAATGCCTCGCGCACTTCAGCCTTTGTATCACACATCGAACTGAAGACCTTCATAGTCTTGTAGTGCTGGGCCAAAGTGTGTTGTGTGGCAAGGGACACATCAGCCTCTTGCCAAATGTACTGCAAATCCGAGCTGACATGCTCTGAAATGTATGCCCTACGTGCAGCGTCTTCAACCATTATCGGCAACGCGGATGACCAGGTGAGTTGACTTGCTAACCAAAAGAAAACGTGATGAAATTGAATTGAACTGTCAAGCAAACTCCCAAACAAACAAAGCAGTGAGAAAACAAACAACCACCGTCCAAAGTGAAAGCTTGACCTGAAGCTGTTCATTCACCTAGAGGTCTAATCGAATTCGACGTGCTCTGAATCTGACTCTGAAACTGAAGTGGCTTCATGCCGCAACATCGAATGAGCTGCAATGATCTGACATGTTCAACTGAATCGCACGATGGGTGACAAAACTTTTCACTGAAAACCTCAACTAAATCCGAAGCTGAAATTCAAACTCTCAAAAGGTGGCCACTGAATCTCACTGCATTCCTTTTACCACCTCCGCAGGGCTGAGTTGGTGACCCCACGGTCCACATCATTGTGTGCCCTGTGTACCTCCTAACTACCTGGCCTGCCACTGGACGGGTACCGCAAATCTGACATGTTAAACAATGTGAAATCATGCACAAAACTGGAAACCTACTCCATTGAATAACTCAGCTGAAAACCAAATTGACCTGTCTGAATCACGCCGAGGCAGGTGCCAGCCATGCTGAAGTCTCAGGCCACTTTGGCCCGCGAGCGCACCAGGGAAAAGCAGTGGCACTGTATGCTAACATGTTGAGATTGCATTGGGTCACACCAAACAACTAGAATGAGTTCACATCCAACACAACATCCTAAAATCTGAAGGACTCACGCCGAGGCCAGTGCCAGCACTGCCCAGTCTTTGGGCACGTTCATCCCGTGGATGCGCTGGTGCGCAAAAACGTCAATCTGAAACACCTGCAAAGGAACATGGAAACATCATGTGAACATGACCAAATGAAGCAACAGGGCATGCAACAATAGGCTTGGAAAATTTCAGTCAAAACACCATTGCATAGTAACATTCTCCAACTGATTCCTCTGCTTTGAGACTACATTGGCTCGTCACCTGAGGTCTCCACACTCGTTGACGACGATGAGCCATCACTTGAACTGCTACTATCAGACCCTGATTCAACTTGTTCTTTCAAAAACCGTTTGCAAACTCTACAAATGGCATCAAAACTGGTGCAAGTGACAGATTCGACACTCTCAGTCTGTTGACACCTCTCTGCATGAACATGGCACTTTCCTGTCACATGTAGCCTCCTGAAACCTGTCCTCCTCGAGACAGTGACGAAATAGGTCATGCCCTCATCAGGGTCGTCGGGAAGCAGTTGCTCCCCATCAGCCTGCTGCTGCAGGTCCTCCCCCTCTGACTCTTCCTCGTCACCAAGTCTGGTCATGTCTTCTGCCTTGACCAATGGCAGCATTTTGTGTCTGCGCCTGACCCGCTGTCCACTCAAGTCAGACTTTTCGGCAAACTCCCGCAGATTGTCCAGGAGCTCATTCTCATCGTACGTGACGCCCTCCCCGTAGAAGGACTGCATGACTTGTTGTTGTATTCTCTCAGTGATCTGGCGCGATGTCAAAAGGTATGCATTGGACCCGACACGCCCTATGGACCACCTGCCAAGAAAATCCCTGTCATGCTTGTCACATCCAATAGACGCCGATGCCTGGGGAAGAAAATGCCTGGCACTATGCCCCTTCCAGAACAGTGAAAGCTCAGCAGGGACAAGCTCCATGTTAGCGTTCACACGCCATTTGCCATCCTCAAACTTCGGAGTACCAAGCATCTGAAGCACCATCCTAAAATAGTTGGCCAGCTGTGGTGGCTCCACCAACTTCTTCCTCATTGCGTGCCAATCAGCTGTGGGTGCAGGCACCAAGTAATCCCTCGGGAAAATCGCACTCTCATGTCTGAAAAGTTGTAACCCTTCTTCCATCCAGTCATGGCCAGTGAGCGTGATACTCCTGTGGACAAAGGCATGGACCTGCCCATGGATCTTACCAGGCCCTGTGGTCTTGGTGCGCGACATGCGGACCGAAAAACCTCTCGGTGAAAGCCGCATTGTTTCCGGCATCACACATTGAATATCGTCCACTCGCATGCAGCCCCATGTGGCAACCAAAATGGTCCATGCGATGACACGTGCATAGTAATCCCTCTGATCGTCCATGACAAACAACTCAAGTGCCAAAAGAATTGAGACAGTGTATGGTGGTGCTGAACCACGTGGCCTGCTGTTTGTGCTCAGCTCCTGACTCCAGCTCTGCAAGTGTGCCTTCCAAGTCGGATCCATGGAGAGCTGGTTGCACTCCGGAACTCTGCCGCACCTCTCCAGAAGCACAAGTGATGCCTGTAACTCTGTGTGTATTGACAGGGCACATCCAAAATGTATGCACTCCTCAATGTAATTCACCAAGTCTGCAACTGAACGCGGCCACAAGATCCCAGCATATGCAACAAGCCATTGCCTGTATTTGCACCAGCTACGAAACCTGTTTCTCAAGGTCTTACCCCTGCGGGCCCCAAAAATTCGTTTCCAAGCTTTGTTGGGGTCATCAAACTGCTGTACCTGATAAACCACTGGCAACCCTGCTTCACTGACAATTGTTGCAAGTTCCATCGCAAACTTAGTCCTCAACGACTCTTCCAGCTCTGCCCTATTTGTACCAGCAGTCTTCCGTTGTTTTGAAACACGTTTCGCAACTTCTAAAGTATGTTTTGGATCATCCTTGACCATGGACTCATAAGCATCTGAGGCCTCAACCGGTGCATCTGCCCTCTTTGCAAACAAACTGCACTCGAGCTCAACCGCAACAGAACGTCTCTGACGCTTGAAAACAGACTGTTGTGATACTGACCATTCCATCAACCGTGCTGCAGCTTCACCAGTCAAATGCTGAACATCAAGACCTGTTGAGTCGGCTAACTGCTTGAAAACCTCTTGTGCCTCATGTTCAGTGTCAAATGCGTTTGCAAAGGAAGATGCACGTCCATACAGCTGAACCGCTGTGCTCAGAACTTTCGGCCCCAGGAAACTGAGCCCTGCCCACTCATCTTCGACCATGTGCGGCCGTGAGGCATGCGTAGCGCCCCCTCTACTAAAAAATTGAACAGCTAAAACTGCAAGACAAAGTATTGATTAACCGAACCCGGGGTGTTTCAGAGTAACAAGGCAACTGAGTCACTTCAAACAAGAAACACCAAACGCTAAAACTGAGTTACAAAACAACAAACCTTGAAAATGCACAGCTGACACTGAGACTGAGGCAAAACAAAGTTTTAAGGTTCAACAGACAACATCTCCAAACCAACAAAACTCAAACCAACTGAAACTGACCCAACATGTCGTTCACTAAGCGGTTTGGAAAATGTGTCAACACCCTACCTTAACATTGTCGCGGGCAGACGGGGTAACGCGAAGTAACGAACGGCTATAGGCGATGAAGCGCAGGCCCCCAACGACACCCCAGCCACCCACCCCAAACCCCAACGCTTCCAAACAGTCATTTTGGTGACCCAAACTATCATGGTCGCTCTAAAACAAACGCGTTGTCTCGTCTCGCTCCGAAAAATTTTAAAAACAATGATTTCGTCAAAAACCGTTTTTCTGAAATCACTACATGCAGTTAAAAGACATGTCTGAAAGAGGAAACGGCCGAGCACCTTTTTCTCACAAAAACATTGGGGACGATCCATCCACGCCCCGCCAAAGCCCCACTTCCTCGAGGCGTGACAGAACCTCTGGTCCGATCGTTTGCCATGGAACATTTGTTATGGCACATCCCAATCTTTTGATCAAGCTGAAGTCAGACCTGCTTGGTCCATCGCTGATATTACTGTGAGAAGGTACTCTGCTGAACCATACCTTCAACTGCAACATTGATTCTCGGGCACAGAAACACTCTATGATGGTATCAGCCATTCGAGTCGCCCCAGCCCCTTTAATCAATCCAGCTCTGGCTCAGTCGTTGTCTACATAGAAGACAATTTCGCATTAATCAGAGCCATCACCCCAAATCGCAAGTGACACAAGAAGTGGGAGGAGCTCCACTTCATGGGGTGCTTTGAATCAGTGAAAAAATGTTGTGCAAATTCCTGAGGAAGTACAGATCCAAATGCCATAACAGCTGTGCCTTGCGGGCTCACAAGAACCCCAGCAATCAAACATTCCTGTTCGCAAGCACCATCCGTAAAACAAATCCAAGTGGAAAAAAACTTTCTGGTGATCTCTACATTGAAATCCTCAAGAAGGCTGCCACACTTCCAGTCGCACCAAAGGGCAGTGCGTTGACCAGCAATAAGATGAAGTCGTTGGTGCCAGCTTTTGAAGTGGCCACTCGAATGCGAGCGCGGTCCTCACTGCAAATCCCAAATTGTTTGTACGCACTTTTCAAATCGATTGTGTTCACCCTCTGCCTGCACGAATCCAATGAATATGCCAGGGGTGCCGCAATGTCATCAATGCCAAAAATCTTCAACCGTTCATGCAAACCTGTCGTTTGGTTCCCCGGCCTGGTTGTGCGTAAAGACCGGCGCAATTTTGTTGGCCCACTTAGCAAGGAACCAAGCAAGGACGGTTGAGACTCCACTAACCACCTTAATGCCAGAATGAGTCCGTGCATGTGGTTGCGGACTGACTGCAACCTTCACTAGCTCACCCTCTTTGATTTTGGCGCACTACACGCTCACCCTGTTTGATTTTGGCACGACGCAGAGCGCAAATACTGCGCCTGCCAGCAAAATCGGCACTAAACGCTTCGCACTGTGGTAAAACAGCGATTTTTAGATGCGACCGTTTGGGCGTGTAGTACCCCACTAAACGCTCCGCGCTGTGGCCGGCGACACATTTTCGCCGTTTCCTGGCGTTCGGTTGTAATTATCTTTTTTAAAGATCAATATAGTTCAGAAAAAAGATCCACTACACGCTACACGGATCTGTTTTGCTTTTTTCCGCGGTAAAAGGCGTGTAGTGCCACAACTGTCGTGCTAAACGCTCACCCTCTATAGGTTCAGTGTCACACACGCGCACCTGTCACCAAAATCTGCACTAAACGCTGTCAGTTCACACCGTGACTGCCAGAAGTATTGCACATGCCAAGCAAATCAAACCCGCAGGGGCGACAGCAAAGTTAGCGCAAAACAGCGCGCTTTCTGCAAGACGGGAAAAAGGCATTTGCATCCTCTGTTGCAACTCCGGTTCTCGACCATGCGAACTGGAGCAAAACAAACAATCTTTCAGGATGAGCCTGGCGCCAGGCTTCAAAGCAGGCTTCGAGGCAGCCTCAAGGCTGTAGAAATTGCAACAAAACAAAAAATGTAAGGATGAGGGATAATTTTCGAGGCAAGCCTCGATGGCCGAAATTGGAGCAAATGCACATGAATGTCTTTTTTTTCGCGCAACGCCTATTGGCTTTCGCCAGGTCGTTCAACACGCTGTATTGCATGCTGTAGAGTGACAAATTCAACTAATTAATGCACTGTCGTCATCCCTCTTCTACAGAAGTGAGGTACAAAAGACTGCACTGGCCAAGGACCTGTTCGGAGTCCGATTCGCCGTGATGGCCGGGGGGCAAAACAGGAAACAAACAAAACACCAGACACAAAACAAAAACACAAGCAAGACAAAAGAAACAAAAAAACTACACCCAAAAAACAAACCAAAAACAGAAGACCGGGAATGTGCGGCTGGCCATAGCAGTATCCGTGGCTACGCGTGGGGTGACAGCCGCCGCGGGGACGCAGTTCTGGTGGGAACGCGGGATGGATGCGTTTTTTGCTTCGCAGAAGCACTTAGAAGCTGCATGGGCTTCTTAGAAGGGTTTTGCTTCTTAGAAGCAGCCTCTTAGAAGTAGAGGCCTTCTTAGAAGATAAGTTTTCTTTTTGATTTAAATTGTATGTTTAGCTTCTTAGAACCCTTCTGCTTCTAAGAGCTTCTAAGTGGCAAAATTCATCTTTTCAGCTTCGAAGAAGCCCCCCCGGAATCCATCCAGACTTGCATCCCCCTACATCAGCCCCTGTATCATCCCAAGATGTGTATGGCAACACCCAGGCAACATTCACCAATCCTTCGCTACTCCGCGCTACTCCGCTACTCCGTGCTATGTTTTAATTCAATTACCCAATGTAATTGACACGATATCGAAACGATGGCGGAGTAAGAAAGCCTTCAATACTTCACCTTCCCACGTTCTACAAGGACTTCAATCTTGTTAAACTTATAATATATACACATCTTAATATGTATATATTTAATCTATATATATTTCAATTTAACAAAAACCATTTCATTTACCAAAAAGGTTTGGCTTCCATTCTTCGAATTTCCAAAACGACTTCTGATGCACTCGGTCTTATATTATTTCCTTTTTCGCTTGCTGGATATAATTGTGTCCAGAGGTCTCAACCAACAGCTTTATTTGGTTGAATTTTCAGATGGACATCAAACCCCCAATAGAAAGCACGCAGATAAATCAATAAGAATATGTTATCATAAGGGGACCTTTTTTTTTTTGAGGGGATGTCCAGCTAAATTGATCAGGCTTCCTTCAGGAAGAGTCAACGGTTCGAAAAACGGAAGGAAACGCCGCCAATCTGAGTGAAACCGCGAAATTCCCAATGTTTGGGATGGTTGATGGAAACGCAGGGATATCGAATGCTAGCCTCCATGGTGAGGCAAATCGGAATCGGATGCATCTAGGCCGGCTGAATCAATCTCCAGGGAGGAGAAATGTTGCATGGTCAGGCACGAATGTCACTGCAGTGAAATAAGAACTAAGCCAAGGTGTTCCCGGTGAGGAGGAGCATGTCAGGAAGCTGATAAACAATCTTATACCCCACCAAAGTGACAACAGAAACAAAAAGCATAACTTAGGTGAGGGATGGGTGGGTTTTTTGAAGTTAAAACAGCATGCAAAACGCAACAAAAAACAAGATTGAAGTCCTTGAGCCAAAATGTTTCAGGGGAAACAACGATCTGAAAGTACCCCGTAAAACATAAACGAAACAAGTACGTTAAACGTTCTACAAGGACTTCAATCTTGTTAAACTTATAATATATACACATCTTAATATGTATATATTTAATCTATATATATTTCAATTTAACAAAAACCATTTCATTTACCAAAAAGGTTTGGCTTCCATTCTTCGAATTTCCAAAACGACTTCTGATGCACTCGGTCTTATATTATTTCCTTTTTCGCTTGCTGGATATAATTGTGTCCAGAGGTCTCAACCAACAGCTTTATTTGGTTGAATTTTCAGATGGACATCAAACCCCATATAAAACTATCTGGGAATTCAACTCGCCATTAATCCCCCAAATATAGAGTGAGGAGAATTCCAGCAAGCGAATCAGGATTACACAGTTGGAAGTGTCCATGGAATGGAAGCATTGGATGGTACCAGCGTTGGAGTCCGACGGATGTTCCAAAGGTCTGGCAATGGGATGCGAATGCGATCACCTAAGTGGAAATTGTGTGGTGGCTGGCCGATTTGGTCCCATCGGCTGAGATCGTCTGCAAGGATGTTGTCTGAACCTGCGATGTGATTAACGTCAATTTCCATACCCAGCATGGCTGATAACAAGCACAAACGTTCAAGAAAAATGGAAAGTGGGTATGTCATGCTCCAAAGTTTATTGCTACCAGATTCGGCACCTGTATTATCGCTCAAGCTTTTCAGGCAAATGGGCATGCGATGAGCTGGAAAAAATCTGGCCGTCACAAACAGAAGGGCAATCTGAGCTAATGTCTCAAATGAAGAAATTGATCTTTGCATTTCTGGGTCAAGGTCTACCCCCAATTCAAGGAAATCGGAATGTGAGTAAATCTCAGAAAACCAATATGTTTTTCCCGCGGGCGAGGTCACAAAACCGCCAATTTCACAAGTTTTTCCAGAGGCACAAGCATCGGCTGCTGCAGTGCCCCCCCAGTATTGTTTTGGTGTTAAAGGTTTCATGGGGGATAAACCGGATACCCATTGGATAAAATGTTGAACAATCCGAAGGCTGGCTGGAGACAGTGTTCGCTTCGTTGAAGCTGGATCTCGAATTCGAAGCCAAATACGCTTGTTTGAGAGATGAACCTTTGCAAGATCGTTCTTTTGCTGGATGTTCTGATGGCGGACAGCTAGCAATTTACCGCCAAGTGGCAATGCAGTGCCTTGTGGCCGAGAAATAATGTTGAGATTTTCGTCCAAATGTGATGCAAAGGATCGCCAGTCACCATTATCGATACTATAGTGTGTTGCAGGAATTGAGTATAGGTCATGATACCAGTGACGAATCCAAATTCGCATGTAGGGCCAAAGCTGGGTAAGCCAGAGTGCTAAACCAATCAGTTTTTCCAAATTTCGTTTGGATGTGCGAGAGCTTCGACCAATCGAACGCAAATATCCCAAAAATTTTGTGAGCTTGGCCATAGGGATTTCGATGAAGCCAGAGCGAAAATGGATTTTCCAGCCAATCCATTGGATACTAAACGCAAGTTCGCATTTGGACCATGAGACCGGGATGTTTGTGATTTGACAAATCAAACAGATCATTGTCGCCGAGAGAGGCATGCTAGTCATGGTCTGGTAGAACAAGAAGTCATCAACGTATAATAGGGCTATGTGAGCCCACCATATCAAAAAATGGAAAAACCTCAGCATCCAGCCGCCGAGTCTGGACCACCACGCCGCCGAGAATGTGGCCCCGAAAGGGGCCACTCTGTAAAAGAACAGCTGGCCCTGCAGCGTAAATCCAAGTAGTCCACATTCTTCATCTCGAATTACTATTCTTTTATGGGCTGCCTTAATGTCGAGGGAAAAGGCCATATGGTCACCTGAAAAATTACGCAAAGGGAATGTGCGCAGCACATCCTTGGCCGACGGCAATGTGCTCCGCTCAGGTATGTGGCAGCGGTCATTAAGGCCGCATATTGTATTGTCCAGGACTAACCTGGGTGCCCTGCCGTCCGAGTGTGCAACGCCAAGTTTTCCGAGGGCGACACCCAGGGGAAATTGCTGTTGTGCATCCTCCAATGTTCCTTCAAATGGAAAAACCCAGCCCTTGTCGATCTCTTGTTGTACCAACTCACGAGTGAGGGCAATGTCGTCCTCTGCGCTCTGCCAGTTCGTCTGGTGAGCCGACAACGGTGGTTCTTCCCGGTCCTCTGAGTTGCTTAACGGAAAACAGTTGCTCAATGGGATGTCACGTTGGAAACCTGTGCCAACACCAGCAATGAGTGAAGGGAAAAGAGCATGGTCCGGATCTTGCATCAAGGTGTTCAAGGAGTGCAGAATATTCAAGCACATGGGTTGGTGTGTCCGAACTTCCCAATTGGGTGTCATGCCTGATGAAATCAAAAATTGTTCCAAATCATGTCGAAAGGGAGCAAGGACCTCTTCTGTAAATGGGGGGTTGGAATGGTCGGCCATCGAGAAATATTGAACCAATTGTTTGTCCAGCCTGGATTCCAATATCCTTGTCATCCATTTCTTGCGCAAAGGACCAAAAACATCCGAAGCTGTTCGAGCACCAAGACTCCAGTCTGGGTTGGAATGCAGGCCCCCCCCATCTTCTTGACCGAAAGGTGGTTCAAAAATATCTTTGCGTGGAGGAATCTGTGCTATATCATCCCATTTAAAATCTTTGGAGTGCTGGTTGACCAGAGGAGAAACTAGGTTGGCAAAAGCTTCTGCCAGTGCCGGGGGATAGCATGCCGTTTGCCGGCTGAGAAATTCGCCTGATTCCGATCTTGTACCAACCAGTGATGTATGGCTCCCATATGGGTGAGAACATAGACAACCCAGTGTCGAAATTTGTTGCCAACTGCTTGCAAACATCCATTGTTTGTACCAGTTCCTGCCGTATTCACATGCTGAAATGACCGTGCACCATGCTGAGATCAGCACCAGAAAAGATTTAACGCACTCCTCCAACCAGCTCATGGCGGAAGGGGGTTGCTCAAGGTGAGCGTGTCCCCCTGCCTGAAAAATTAATGTCAGGCAAGTAATAGTTCTGAAAAGCATCATAAAAGATTCTTGGACTTGAAGTAGCTCCATACTGTTAAGGCCCGGGACTCCATCCAAAGCTTCAGGTGTTCGAAGTGCTTTAGGGCCTGGACGATGAAGTTTCAACCGAGAGTAATGGGCACAAGAAGGGGAAGCCGCACCATAAGCCACCTGTCCAGATGAACAAATTCGCAGCAATTGTTCGTAGCTCTGGTCATTCAGTAGGTCTATACGCTTGTCCAGCAAAATGTCAAAAGACAGTACATTGCCCTGTTGGGCCAAAATGGCCGCACTCAGTGGGCGTGTTGCCCCCGAGCAAATATCCAGAAACAGTCGAGCCTCACCTTGGGCGAAGTCGGGCAGTGAAGGTGCCAATATGGTTGGTGACACTGGTGATACCTGTGAAACTGAAATAACCTCAGTTGGCAGCTCCTCAAGGGTGGACTCCTTGGGAGTCTCTTGAAGTGAAACTGGTTCTTGTGCCGTTGGAATAGGATCCACAATATCATCTGTTGTAACTGGCTGCATTAGTCAGTGGGTCGTATTTTGATGCTGAAGGGCACCGTGGTCCAAACCGCACGCATGGCCATTAACTGGATATGCACATTGGTGCTGGAATTTGCATGAATCTCCCAGCGAACAGCCCCCGGTTTGGTATCGCATGCATAGCTGCTTCCACTGACCATCTTTGGTTTTAACATCAGTCAGCCATTGGACCTTTCCTTTGCCTTTCGATTTGCCTTTGCCCTTCGAGGGCTTGCCTTTGCCCTTGCCTTTTGTAAAGCTCGAGGAGCTGGGTGTTGATGGCATGGATGGAACCTTCACTGGACGAGGACGAAGTTGAAGCAAGCCTGGAAGGTCATGTCGGATATGGGTGAATTCATGTAAGCAATTGTCCATATCCCAACCACGCTCAGACATCAAGTCTGAAATGGAAGCCCAAATCTGCCTGTCTGCCGCTTGCGCCTCTGTGATGGATGCACAGCGCAACATGGTATCTGGGTCCACCCTTTGTGTAAGGAAACTCAAAAACTTCGCTGAATAGGCTTTGAGGTTCGCTAGGTGGGCGCCTCCACACATTGCAACTGCTGTATCATGGACTGCCAATAAGTTACGGACCGCATTCACCCCAAAACCAGCATTTGAAATGTCAATCGATGGGGGCTCATCCACCAACAAGCTATGCAATGTGGCCACTTCAAGTTTAGGCATCTTTGCCTGCCTTTGAGAAGTGATTTCATCTGATTTTGCCAAAGTAAGTCGGTATTTCCAGGGAATCCACGACCACTGTTTCTTTGAGAGCTGATGGTGTGTAAGGCTCAGTAAACGCGTACTTGGCATGGTATCATGATTGAGAAGCTCTGAGGGATAACTGGCCAAAAATTTGGCCTTCATCTGTTCAATCACTGCTGTGTCCAACTTCGGGGGGAAGCTTTCCGCCCATGTGCTTGCTGAGGCCGATGCATCAGAAGTGGCCGTTCCACCAATAGGTGTTTGATTTGCAGGTGCAGGTTGGGTCAAGTCATGACACATTCGGAATGCAGCCCTAAGTGAGGCTTTCTGAAGCAGCGTTGGCTCTTCACTGAAAAACTCAGGCCAGAGCTTGTCAAACGCTTCTAAATCCAACGCAGAAAACGCAAAGGACTGAATTGTCCAACCTGCTGAAATCAGCTGGGATGCTGTAGCAGGATCAACGCCACACGCTGACATCACCTCTTCCAAGTTTTTGGAAGTCATGACGCACGCAAGAAAACGCTGTCCAGGTGGACACTAATGAATAAAGCTGGCAATAAAAAGCAAATTGGTCATGTTGTACATTGTGATGCACATCAATTGAGGTCTGGGCTGAATTGGGATATGGTCCTGAAGGATGTCACGGTATGGCTGACATGATGTTTTTGTTTTTTTTTGAAATCATTTTTTTTGAAATGGCTGCGGACGAGCATATAAATAAAAAATGGCTATGGGATGCATGTGATGAGTGACATGTATGGTGGCTTCGGCCATGGAAAAATGCTGATGCTCAACCTCCTGCAGGAGATTGTTCCAATTGACGCAATGATCAAACGCTGAGAGAATGTTGAACGCATCTGCCTTTTTTGTCTGAAGCAATGCTGTTGGGTGCAACTCAAACAATTTGGACGGCTTTCCAAATTTTTTTGCAACCTGCATGTTGGCAAAATGCCACAGGTGGTTGCAAGTCCTCCAGGAAATCGGTTTCTGAGTGGAGCATCCTGGCGCCACATGCTGCTCTCCAATAATGGTTTCTATTGAAAGGTCTGGACTCAGTATCGTCTGTTGTCGCAATCATGGCATGGGTGACTTTCCGATGCCTTGCAAACACGGCTTCGTCGACCTGACCCTCGTCGGGCACCAATGTTGTTGTGTGTGCCGTGGGTTCCAATGCCTCTGAACTGGAACTGTCACCCGGGCTGCTATTGCTCGAAGATTCGTTGTCTGAGTCCAGCTGTTCGACCTCCGGGTCAGGCAGGATTTCATGAGGATCTTCAGGCTTGGAAAAGGGAAGCCATTGAAATGAATATTCAGGTGCAGTCTTCTGGAACCGTTCCAAAGTGACCATTGGCTCCGTCAGAGGAAATTGTCCTCCCCTGTGTTGGGCTGTCTTGGGACGCCACCCTTTGTGTATCTCCATGATGATGGTTGATTGGTACCGTAAGGAACCCCAAACGCTGTCTCTGCCATAAAGATTCAGTGAATGCTTGGGATCCTGATGGTGACCCTGCAGCAATCGGTCTGAGTCGCTGACCAGGTTGCCCAACTGTGGGCCAAAACTCAAAAGAGTAGCCTTCATTGAATGTAGGGTGTATGTTTGTTGCAGGTGAGCCAGTGGATGTTGATCCTGAAATTTCTTCCATGGTGTCAACAGCATTTCACGAAAAATTTGTGTTGTCTCCGCATAATTCAGTGGTTCAAGCTCCTGAAATGTTCCATCTGGCTCCATGGACGGGATCAAAAAATCCACCTTGGACTGTGGGACCTGTAGTGTTGTCATCACTTGGTCCCAAGTTTGTAAAAACTTAAACAGCCATGTGTATGTCCCTTTGCTGCAAAGTCCTGCCGCCTGTGCACCGAAAGGGTGTCCTGCCGCCATTGTCTTTGATCTCCATACCAAGCCACGGAGTTCCTGAAAATTAAAGACCAATGAACTAATGTTCAACCGCTGTGCATCAGCGAAGCGAAGACCTGCCCAGGTAATCAGGAGGAAGGAGCCAAGCATCATCACTTCGTATGTAGTGGAAGCCCCTTGTAAGATTCGACGTTCCCACTGGAAAATCAACCACAGAGGGAGAGGTGGGGCCTCTCGACGGTCTTTGCTCAGTTTTGTTTTCAAGAAGCTGTCTACCAACGGAGAAAAACAAATCATCAAATGAGAAACTCCTGCAATTTTGTGCCACCAACGCAATGCTTTGATTGTAAAGTTTCCTGAACACACATCTCTGTCAGTCTCACACGACTTCGACAACCTCATGACGGTCAACACGTCCGCAAGCTGAGATTCTGACAAGGTGTGCATGTCCAATCCAAGTTGTGCAGTAACCCGTGCAAACTTCTGGACCGCTTGTAAATAGCGGAATGAGGTCGTAGCAGCGTAATTGTTCAAAAGTCTCTTGCGATGTTCATCGGCATATGGTGAGGATTGCAGTGATACATATACTGCAGATGAATTGCCAAAAAGCTGCAATAAGTTGGTGAACAGTTCAACCAAAAAAGCATTGTCACTGGCCAGCTTTGATCGAGTCAATTGAATCGATGTTGAGCTCCGCACCAGCTGGGGCTTAGCAACGGCTACATGACCCTTGTTCACTGGAGGGCGAGGCAATGCTTTCTCTGTACTGGGACACAACGCCGGAAAAACCCTTGTGGGTACTGAAGGCTCCGACAACCTGGATGGTGATGCACTCATGGTCAAACTGGCCGGGTGATACTCTGTGCGATGGTTTCTAAGGTATGGTGAACCGACATGTGAAACATGATGAATCAAATTGCCTCGAATTGGTTGATACGCTGGTGTTGATCTGGGCTCTGCAACTGAGATGGCCGCCAAAGTCAACCTGGGACCTGCTGGAACTGATTGGGGTACCTCTGTGATCGAAACTGGAGATACCTGCAAACTAGCTTGGAGTCGAGGTTGGACTGGCATATCCGGACGACTCAAAGGGCGTGTCTTAGGTGTGGGTTGCATCAGCTGCACTGATTGTGAATCACAAATGAGGTCCCAACCCTCTTCAATCGGAAGATCCATCAGCGACTGAAGGTGTCTCGATCACTCGAAACCGAACTGCACAACGAAAAATGCGATGGGAGCACCAGCTAAAACGCCAAATATCCCTGGGCAGTGTTCTGTCTTCCGAATTCTGATCGTACAAGTATGAAACTATGAGTGTGCACAACTCTAACCGGAAATGCGATGCAAAAATCTCTGTCCAATCTGGGTTCCGATGACGCAAAGCGAGCATGGCAAGCCCCGGATATCCGGGATGTGAAAGGTACGGTCAATGACCTAAAAGCATGTGAAGTGAAAAGAAACATCTGAATGACGCAACCCACACCATGACATTGAAATGGAAAAAGGAATCCTGCAGTTTGTTGACGCACCTATCCACCATTTGTGGCCATGTGTTTTTTTAAAGTTAAAACAGCATGCAAAACGCAACAAAAAACAAGATTGAAGTCCTTGAGCCAAAATGTTTCAGGGGAAACAACGATCTGAAAGTACCCCGTAAAACATAAACGAAACAAGTACGTTAAACATCTTTTCCTAAGCAGATTCCTACTCCATCCCGTTTTAAATTTATACTATTAATTAATAACGGGATTGACTGAAAAGATCATGATTCATGTTCTTTCTGGGCTGAACACTTCGGTAGGAGTCTAGAGGGGCAAGGGGGGCCAACAAGCGGCAGTAGAGTATTCAATACAATCATTCAAATGGAAGCCGGCCACCTGCGCGAAAACCCACAAACTCCGCAACAGCAAAAACACCTTAAGCAATCACGTAAGGGCTGCAAAAGGCTGATGGGCCTTCTTTTAGCGGCAAACAATCAAGCCACCAGACGCAACGAAATAATAAGAAGCTAATTTCAAGTGGGTTCAAGCAGCAACCGATATGCACCCCGCTTGAAGCAACAAGAAACAAAATCATCTACAAAACAGCTTGCTCCGACGGACCCAATTCTGGGTCCGGAAAACCTTCTCAAAACCGGCTTCACTCAAAAGGGCCTCCCTAGTTGCCACAAAGTTTCATTGAAACCCAAACCTTGCGCTTCTGCAACCCTGATACAAAAAACTTTAAAAAAAGAACCTAAAACACGGTCCCAAAAATGGGACCGCCTGGCGGTCCCATTTTGGGACCGCATGCACAGCTTAGTAAAAGAACAAAAGAAAAGCACTTTCACGGTCCCATTTTTGGGACCGTCTGGCGGTACCAAAAATGAGGGCAGCTTCGCTTCAGGCGGAATCCCCAGGATTCCAATTCGTGCTCTGGGACACCAATGCCAGAATCAACGGTCTGGTCGCGGTAGATCTGGAGACGCTCGTGTCACAAGTGCTCTCTGACTACCCCCCGAACGCAGGCTTCGCCAATGGACTTTTCGTAATGACCACAGCCACCGATCACAAGAACAACCTCAACAGCTCCGCCCTAAAGAAAAACTATGCCCGCACACTGCGAGTGGAAACTATTGCTAACTCAGCAGGAGGCACGGCAGAAGTTGCAATAGTGGCCCAGCCAAGTACAGGATTCCTCAACGGAAGGTTCTACCCAGATGGCTCCCCCACGGAAGACACCGAAGACTGCTTAGGCCGCATCACGGTTGGACTCACACGATCGAAATCCTTGACTCTGCTGGTCTCCCCGCTCGACATGATGGGGCTCATCGGCATGGCTCAGGTAATTGCAACGATTGCCTATGGCATCCAAGGCCTCAGAAGGGGTGTCACCACCTGGGATTCGCCTACTTTCAATGCCAATCCGGAGCAGGAAAACCTTGAACAAATGCGCAGATTGTCTTTAAATACAACGCCTTCATGGTCGTTCCCCCCCTGGCAATCGCCAACAAATACCATGACCACCAAACCAACCAGCCGAAGAGCGTGCGATATCGACTCATTTTAGTACGAGCGTCGGACCTCGACTGGCTGAGAGGAGATCGGCTCAAGGACCTACAAGCACAAGCAACGGCTGGCCATAAGTGGATCCCGGCACAGCAACTTCCATACAACGAAATCATTTTATACGCATACGCCGCCGACCGCACGAACCGGCCTACATACGTGTGCCTGCCATCTGGATTGTACAATGCACGCACCGGGCGTGTCTTGGCACAAGCTGGCCCTGAACAAGAAATCACACCGCTACCGGGCATCTACTTCTTTGATGGGTGGCGAGTACATCCAACATTGGTCATCCCCGCCGACCTACCAAGCACCAAAGAAGCACCAGTATGTGATGTTGAAGCCCCCGCACATAGCACTGCAAGCACAGAACCACCCCGGTCGCCGGAAGAAGAGGCGCGTGACATCCTCGCTACCGCTGCTAAGAACCAAGCGGAAGATGGACCCAGCACTCGTAGGGCAGCCATCCGTGCATGTAAGTATCTGAGAGCCATGGTCCACCAACATGGCCCCCTCATCCAGTCAGCACATGAAGCCGCCAAGATCCACACGCAACGCAGCAAAGGCAACGCAGCAGCAGCCATGCAATATCGCCCAAAGGA